ACTTAAGAGTAGGTTGATTTTTTTGGAAAGAACATCGCCGACAACTAGAAGAAAGGAAGTGATCTAGTCGAAGAAAAGAGATGATGTAGCAGATATAATGAACAGCCGAAACAAGAAGACAGGATTGATGTTCTAGTCGCATCAGATTGCATTTTTTAATGAAGAAACGCCCCGCAAACAAAGATGTAAACTACAAAATGTAAAGCTAGAAGAAGTTTCAACCTCTGAAAATGCCAATCTATCAGCAACATCATTCGTCCACTCAAACAACCGAGTCAGCTGCCGTGTCAATCGCAAAACTGAGACAGGCACTGTAGTCACATTGGCATCTTGGCCGGCAAGTCTCTCGCACAATGTTATCACCTGATGCAATGAGTATTTACTTTAAAGAAGGTCATAAACACCACCCAAACAGGATTAAAGGGAGAGAATAACAGAGACAGAAAAAGCAACAAAAAAGTAGTTAACGAAAGGAAAAAGAGCTTACTCTAGCCTTTTTGGGAAACTTACTTCAAGAGTTAGGGTATCTAAGTTCAAAATAATTAGTAATGGTTTGACGATGGGAAACAATATTGTAATTTCAAAGACGTGGATTGACTTTTTTCTTACTGTCTAGTATATATAAAAGATCTAGAGTATCTTTAGCAGAAAGTTGATGGCCTAACTCCTAAGGAAGCTTCAAAATGAACTTGGTTTTAAGTTAATTAAGCTTTCGATATTAACAGCATCCTGTGTTGCTTACCCCAATTCCAGAAAAAAAAAGTACCACAAAAGGCTACATTGTAAGTTGCCAAGGAAACTAATAGTAATGATTAAAATGGACATCCTTCTTACCTCTTGGGTTGTCCATGCCCGAGGCCCAGCAAAAGTGAGAAGCTTCCCATTAATATTCTCATTGCGTAAAGCTATGAATGTCAAGCGAGCAATATCCTGAAAGCAATGTAGTATAGAATTACTATTTATCAATTACGTTAAATAGACTCAAAAGAAACTAAGTGGAAAATTTACTTGGGTGTCCATGTATGCTATTCGAGTGGGAGCATCAGTTCCCCATACAGATTTCTCTTCTAATATAGGCACTGCATATTGACCGATAAGGCCCTGGAGAAAATGAAAATAACTTTTAAAGTGCTAAGACAATGAATAATTTGACTAAAGGACAATAGACATGGCAAAAGTAAATATCTGTGGAAAGAACACCTTATCGGTTGGTTCAAAAACTAATTGTAGCGGTAGCTGTGTCTTTTTTCCAATCGGTAAGAGTTAATGAATAAGAACAAAACGAGCACTCCATTATAATCACAGAGGGCATACCTATGCTCGCAGTACCCTAGGTTCTCTTTCTAAGGTACATAGTAGTAGTTCATAACTCAAACGAACCTCTCAACTTTGTCAATAATAAGAACATAACATGACAAGCTTTTCTGCTTTTGCATTATGAATTTCCAGTCGCAACATCTAGTGCTTCAACTAGTATACTGATAGGCTTTTGCACTCCAAGGTGTCCATTTAGGATGCCCTATCATTAAGTTCGTGATTTGTACATCTTTTGAGCTTAAGAAATGCTTCCTATTTTCAATAAGTTTACCAATATATTTTCATGAATCTAACTTATTGCAATACCTTTAAAGAGTTTTCACATTCAATGATATTTGTTTCAGCATTGTGGTTAAAATGTACAAATATAGGGCATACTGTTAGCATGAGTAATAAAATCATTAGAGGATGATACCTGCATGAAGCCACATAGCCGGATTACGATGTGGTTGAGGCCTGAATCCCGGAGAAACTTTTCTGTACAGTGTTTGATCTCCATAAGGGGAACTTCAGGATGCTTATCGCAGTTATGAATGGAGAAAAAGATAAATTTTTGAATGCCCATGGCTTTAGCACATTGTATAAGTGCAACTTTTCCTTCCCAGTCTACCTAAAATGAATGGCTAAAGTAAATAAGCTTGATAAGCCACAACAACAATAGTGTAAATAAGAGAAAAAAGTAGTGGCAGCATGACAATTATCAAGACAGTTAAATAATCAGAGCAATTTTCATTCTAATGACAACCTTAAGTATAATTTGAAGTAAATTATTCACCCCCTTTTCGGCCCAGTAGGTATGCTTACAGTCTTTATAGGCTCCTCAGGACGTCCAGTAGCACAATCAATAACTGTATGGATTCCAATCAATGTTGCTGGAATTGTTTCAGGTTTGCTTAAATCCGCCTGTCCAGAAATTAGTTTAGCTTGATAATTACACAATTTTTTTTTTTAAAATTAAAGAAACAGAATAATCTGGAATAACAAGGACGAGAATGAAGGGAGTAAGAGGGTTAGTAGTTGGGAGTATTTGTACTTACATTGACAACAGTGGCGCCCCAATCACGAAGAAAATCAGCAGGAGCAGGCCTAGGCCTGACCAGACATCTAACATCGTACCCCTCGTCGAGTGCTCTTCTAACTACTTGCCTTCCCAATGTACCCGTCGCACCCACAACTAGTATACTAGTCGGCCTCACTGGTGTTCCGGGAGCTAAATTCACCGCAGCTGGAGCAGCCTGAGCGTTGCACACCACCTTAGGTACCGAACAATTTTTGCCTACTGTCACCAAAGAAATTAATAAACCCAAGAAAATTAGTGGGTCATGTTGGAATCATGTTTTGTTAACATACCAACAAACAACAACATACCCACTACTATCCCACACCATGGAGTCTGGGAGGCTAGTGTCTAAACAGACCTTATCCCTACCCTACCTTGTAAAGTTAGAGAGACTGTTTCCAAATAAAAAAAGTACCAACGCTCAATCGAAAGAAAGAGCAATCAACTATATGCTTAACTCATGCCCCAGGAATCCCTAGACACAGAGAGAGGGTACGAGCTAATCTTTTACTAGAGGGAAAGCTTAATTACCTTTAGTAGTGCTGATGATGGGAAAATTGGGAGGGGAAAGAGTAGAAGCATCAAACATGGTGCGCCATGACAAGGTGGAAGAGAGCTTGCGGGAGGGAAGAGGAGTAAGTTTAGTGGGGGTGGTAAGCTGGGCGTAGAGGGTGGAGGCCATTAGAGAGTGAGAAATCAAAGAATGGAGATTTGGGCAAGAATTGTTGCCAACTGTATAACTGATGAAAAGTAGACTGGTATAGAATGGGAAACAAAGAAGAAGCCACGTCGTTATCTTATTCTTTGGTTATGGATTGAGTGATTATGTATGGTTCCCCGCCTTCCACCTCAGCTTTCCCGGGTTTTAAACTTTAAACCCTCAACCTTCTTCAATTTCACTTTCTACTACTTACTACCTTCATTCTTTTGAAAGTGATATTTCATTACAATGAGAAAATGTTGTTTCGTAACAACTACGTACATTTTTAGTGCTATTTTCAAGAATTGGAAGTCAACCATTTATTAAGTATAATTTATTTATTTTTTGATCATTAATTTTGTTGGGATTAAAATAACATTACGCATACGGCAGCTAATAATATAAAGTTTAATGGACGATAAATCAGAGTATAAAGGAAAAGGCCAAATACATAACGAACCTTTAATGTTGCCAGGAAATCTCATTTAGACACTTGAACTTAGCTTTGTTCCAATTGAACACAATACTATGTTCATCACCATACCTAGTAGGCACAACTAGCTGACGTGGCACATAACGTGGGTCGCACAACATTTGAGCGCGTGAATGTTATTACACGTGGACTCTAACAATAATATTTTAAAAACAAAATAAATATATATCTATTTAGACCCACACAATTTTATATAAACCCTAATTTCATTCCCTTTCGTTTAGTTCTACCCCAATTGTTTCCAAATTAGGTCGAGAGACATCTTCTTGTTTCCAATTTTTCTTTGTTTCGTTGTAATTCTTCTGTATTTTTTTCTAATTCTTGCCTCTTTTCTTTGTCAAAGCAGTTTTAAATTGGAAAGGTAACCTTAATTCCCAGTGATAAATCGAAGAAAATAAACTGGAAATACAATGAGAATCAAAGGTAATTGATGGTATTTTTCTAGGGATTTTTTGGACCTCTAATCGCCATTCTTCAATTAACGGTGGGAGAGAGTAATGAACGAGTCTTTTAATTTTAAATGGGGTGACTACATAGAAATCTGATGTGGTGCATTAAAAAAGTTGGCATCTTTTAATTAGTTAGCTTTCCACATCAGTTGCACTTAAAAACACGCGCTTCACTTAATATAACACATGACCTGAGTTTTGAGCAAGTTGTGCCTAATAGATATGGTTATGAACATAGTATTGTGTTCAATTGGAACAAAGCTAAGTTCAAGTGTCTAAATGGGATTTTCTGGCAACTTTGAGAGTCTGTATATGTATTTGGCCAAAGGAAAAATATACTAAACTATGCAAAATAATTTATTGTGGTTTGGTCAATCGACCTACGTATGATCTATCACTAATATAAAAAGAGAAAACAAAATTTTTTAGGGAATAATCTCCCCTAAACATGATTCTCTTAAAGATTACATTGTGTAGATTGTTGTGATTTATTAAGAGTCTTTTTGCCTTCCATCAATAAATAGAGTCCTAATAGATTAAAATTTGAGGGCAAAACACTAACAAATTTTGTAGGTTATTACAAATGAATACTTATATAGAAATAATTTAAAGGGACTTTGTCTTCAAATGTGTAGCAGAAGAAGAAAAAAAACTGCACTAAAAGCTCTTGTCTTCCCGAAATGGCCATTGTAGAGAGAATCATACTTGTGAAATTTGACCTAATGAAATGAATACTTTCTTTTGGTGTAAACGTCAAGAAAGTAATACTATTAGAAAGAAAACAAACAGAACAAAATTAATGGCTTCTGCGATAATATTATACAAGTAGCTTCTCTCTATTTTACCACAGGTCATAACATGAATGTGACTATGTGAGTTATGAGCAAGTCGATATCCTCAAAATTCCAGTGGGAAAATGATTAGTATATAAACAGTTGAAATACATTTAGACTAACTAGCAATGACTGATTGAGCCGAAAATAAATGCAAAGGAAAATCTGAGTACTATATACAATTTAATTTTCCTCAAAACAAAATAAAAAAGAAGGAAAAAACCCTATAAACATGAAACGCCAACAAAAGGTACCATCAATCAATACTCCAAGAACGTATGCAGTATAAAGTTGGTTTTTTCCAACTCATCCTGCAGTGTGTGTATTTAAATGCATATAATTTGAATGATGCAGTTGATTCTCTTGCCTTAAAAACTGTACTCTTCAACTAGCAAAACTGGAGAACTAAACTCCTAATCTGCACTTGGCCTTATATACAAATTTCTGCTCAATACCATTATCTTGGTATCAACCAATGGAAGCTAGTACTCAAAATGAGAACCTGCCCCGACTGCAACTCGTCTTTTATCCGAGAAAATCTCTTCCATTTCTGACTGTTCTGTTTTATAAGGTCTGCTTGAATCTGCATCTCTGTCTTTAGGAAGTCATCTTCCTTAAATTTCAAGTTCAGTTTCCATATATTCTGTATCCGACCATTCTTGCTCTTCTTCACTAGCCTGACCATCAGTCACTTCAACCATATCTCTCCTAGCACTATTAGTAGAAGAACCGGTATCTATTTCAGAGATGATAGAATGAGTTCCAAATAAACTTGCATCTTCTCTATCATTGGCATCAGAATCTGCACAAATGCATGCTGATGGATTTTCATGAAACTCTCCCCTTCCTGGTTTTACCTCCATTGGCTCTCCCATAAAACCTATTTGAGACGTTCGAACTTGTGAAGCAAACTCTTCCCATGTCATGTTATTTCGACTAAGGAACAACTTATAAAGCTTCTTAGCATTTGGGCGGATAGTTGGCTTGTGACCAAAATATCTCCTGCAACACGAAAAGGATGTTTCAGAAGTTTTGCCCTTTCCCGGATTAACAGACTAGCAAATAATGTAACATGGCGTTTTGGTAAAGAATATGGCACAGCATATCGTATAAATTTTTTATCAAATCAGCTAACTGATTCAGGTCGAAAACACCAAGTAGCTTACCTTCTTCCAGCAAGCATTCTTGCCATATTACCGTTGTTGTTGGACACAAAGACATCACTCTCATCACAAACCATGAAATCTAATGCAGCCATCCTAGAAGAGAAGGAAGAGAATGGGGCCAACTCCTCCTTGCTAGCAATTGTTTCTTTGGAATAAAAATTTGGAAATAGAGCCTTAAGAGGAGCCAATGTCTCCTCTCCTCCATAAATTTCTCCAGATGCCACATAAATATGAACATCATTACCGAAACCAAGTGCTCTAAGCATAAGGCCAATTTCCTCAGGAGTGAGAGGGCATTTTCCATGCCTTCGTTCCTTATCTGGGTTTGTTGCCTGCAAGTTATGCCAAAGAAGCAATACAATATTAACTATAAGTAAGGGCAATATATAAACTAATGGTTACTAAAATAAGTAGTGACTCACATGTAACGTCTTCCACCTCTTCCGTATTTTACCTAGTTCTTTCGTTTCCTTGTCCCCTCCACCGTAATAGCATCCAGAAAATGCAAGCATATCTGGTTCAAACCTAGCACGTCGTAAACAAGTTTTTAGCAAAGCATATTCCAATTTAGAATATTGACTTAGGTCACTGACAAAATCAACATTCATATCCTAAAGGAATGTCATTGAATCTGAAATAGCACCAAAACACACATGTGTAATCCAGTTTAACAATTCCACAATATATGCAACACTGATATGGCTGAGCTTTTGCCTTTCTATTACATCATCAAATCTAGGCAACAAAAATGAATTTTGAGTACGAGTGGTTTGCTGTTGTTGTTTTTTTAAGAAAGATATAGAAGTATTTTTTTAAAAAAAAAAATCATGAACAAATAAAAGAACATTTGCGTAAGATATCTTTGGAGATAAATGTTATACCTCAGATGCAAGGCAACAAAGTGCTTGCTTTTCATTCTTATCCTTTCAACCAATTTTCTGCCCATTTCAATAATGGGATCAGTAAACTTCAATGCATGAAAATTGACTCTACATCTCAGCTTCTGCATATCTATATCCAATCGATTGGAAAGCCTGTAATCAAATTTTGTTAGCTGAACAGCCTGCATCAGAACAAAGCAAAGAGTCAATAAAATACTATATTTCAGCATGAGTTGCCACATACATGTATAATGCGGGAATCATGTGATGTACACAAATTTCATGTCATGGGATGATATCATGCTCTGATGCACTGGATAAGGCAAACATGCCCCTTTAATCTATAAAGGACTTACATGCTTTTTCTTTAAAATAGGCAGGATGCGAGTTTGATAACACTTGGCATTGCACTTCCTTGGAACACGTGTTGTATATGGAGTTATGACTTTATCTCCAATTCTTGGAATATCCCTAATAATTTTGACATCTTTTGAGAGGTGTGATATAAAGCGGTCGACATCAAAAATCTCAGAGAAGTTGCTGCACGAAGAAAGAAATGATTAAGCCTCATGAATTGTAGTACACTAACAAACAAAAAGATAGCTCACAAAATGCCTTTGTGCAAAGATTATTCCAAATAAAACCTTGAATCTTTCCAGTAGGATTTCTGGTCAAGTTTTGGAACTACAAGGACGGCATTCAAGATATGAGCTGCAACAACTGCATCTACAATCTGCATCCAGCACAAATATGATTTGAAACTCAAATTTGATGTAGCATTCTCTTAAATGTAACAGAAAATAAATAGAGTTCCCAGGGCCAAAAATCTGCTCGTTCTATCTTTAGTTTAATATAAACTCTTACAGTGTCCAGAAATGGACTTGCTAATTCATGGCAGCAGGTAAGCAAGACAAGTCGGTGTCAACAGAAAACTCGATCCACCACAACAAATATAAAGAGCACGAATAAGTAAATTAATTGGATCCTTAATTTCTTTAACTGCTCTGCATCAATAACCATCAAAATGATGCTGTTAATTAGTTTCTGTCAGGTCAAAGGAAGGAGGTTAAAACAAGATAAACTGATGGTAAAGGCTAAAAGTAGGAAGAACAAGGGACCCTTTTGCTAAATTATGGGATCAGGGAGCAGACCAGCGTAATTCTCTTGACTATTCATTCATGGTATTCAAAAGCTACAACTCGCAATCCCTATGCTGTTGAATGTTACAGCCTTACAGGTAACATTAATAACAAGTGTTTACGCACCAGATCATCATTCCAACTTCCAAGTGAAAATATTCTCGTTCTTTCTTAATTTTGATAGAAGCTAAAATGCTAATCAAATTGCTTTTTCCACTGTACCCATGCCAAAAATTTGGCAATTACCCAATTTAAATGAGGTCTCATAGAACATCAGTTATCCGCAAGGACATGGTTTAATTAGAGGTTTAAAATTTTGAACACTTGAACTTATATCTTACAACAAAAACAACAACGACCCAGTGAAATCTCACTAGTGGGGTCTCAGGAGGATAGTGTCTACGCAAATCTTACCCCTACCCGAGGGAGTAGAGAGGCTGTTTCCGAGAACTTATATCTTACCTAAGTCTGAAATGTTTTCTTTTTTCATAAAAGCTACCAAAAATGCAAGTATAACTGTATCTTAAATGCAGTGGGGTGTGACTTGGGAATTAAATCCACCAAGGAAAAACATTCAAACGACATAAAACCTTTGGTCAAGTATCTCTCACTGTGATGCCTCTCCATGTTGTTGACCTTCAATTAGGAAAAAGATTGGCATGAATATTGAAAAAAAGAAATTACCCCAGTTCTCTGTTGATTCAAGCCTCCACTAGTTGCAATCATCAAGTACCTATTGGGATGAGTATTAACATCTGCACCTGCAAATGTTACAACAAGGCTACACATCAGACGAATATACAGTACAGAACACGTTTCGAAGACCAAAAGCAGTCAACTTTTTATTAACTTTAAGACTATATCAAGATTCAAAGGTGAAGACAAAACAATAAAGGTGAATCTTTTCTCAACAAAAATCGTGTATAATTACAAAAAGGCTAAAACAAAATTGAAATGGACCCACTTGGAAATTTGTAGCTGGAATTACTGCAGCCGTGGTATAATATTGATTGCTTAGAAGTCCATATGTCTCCGCTTAAACTTCCTCCACCCATCTACATGTTCAAAATCAGGAAGAAAATATTCGAACAAAGAAATTAACCATCTTTTACGTATATATGGAAAGAGTCAAAAGTGCAATATATAGCTGTAACGCTTGCTCACCGGAACGCGAAAGACGTGTTCTTTTTGCAGGTTCATCTGAAGCTCCGTTCCGTTATTGAACTAAACGCAGTAACAATACAGAAAAAAATCAAAACAGACCCAGAACAATGATAAACAGAAAAGAGAAAAAGGTGATGAAATGAATGATAATATTATTATGTAGATACATACCCAGATGGGATTGATAAGGTGATGGTGTTGAGAAGTGATGGGCGGAGAAAAAAGCACAAAGAAGAAAAGAATGCCACCGGTTAAGGCGGCGAGAAGAGGAAGGAGGTGGTGAATACGGCGGCGTCTTTTGAATATCAGAGTGTGGAGAATAATTTGGAGTACAAGAAACAATTTTTCATGGCTGCGTTGTTTTCTCCTCTTCATATTTGTATAAAATACTACTAGTAGTAATGAACAAAGTAGCTTTTTAACAGTGTATATAGGCTATAGGCTATAGGTGAGAGTTGAGTAGAAGGAAGAAAATAGGAAGTGGTTGATGATGATGATTTTGGTAGAGAGAAATAGTGGGAAGTGGTTTACTAACAAACATTTCATTTCCAAAGAGAGGGAACTTCGTTTCCGGCAGCTATTACGTCTTTATTTGGGGTTGGCCGTATGACATACACAAACAACATATATAGTGCTGCTCGATGGAAATACTCTCCCTTGACCAGAAATTTCGAGTTCAACCCTTAAATATAAAAAATATTTAATATAGAAAGCGTTATTTCCGGATCGAATCCGGTTTAATGCGGGTACCGAACAAAAGAAAGAACATATATATATATATATAGCATCAAAATGTCTATTTCATTCACCATATTCACTTCCCCCCGGGTACGGCTGTTTACCTAAAGTTTCTGTGCTTTTGCTTTGTTTCCACCCACTATTCTATTTATATATATACTCCCTCTTTGAAAGCGCGACAGTGACACACCTAATTTCTAATATGTGAATTCACATATTCATTGTTTATCTTTGTGAGATAAAGTGAAGTATATATTTAGGCCCCGTTTAGCCATACATTTTGGCAACGTTTTTTAAATCTTTTTTGAAAATATTGTTTGTTTATAGATTAATGATCTATTTTTGAAAAAAATTTGAAATTATTTTTCAAGTTCCCAAAATCTAGTTTATGGTAGATTTTGGGTGAAACTTGTTCTCCCACTCATAAAACTTCAAATTTTTTTCAAATAAAATGCATGTCCAAACATAATTTTAATTTCCAAAAATTATTTTTCAAAACTACTTTAAAAATTATTTTTTCAAGTTTCAACTAAATCTATGTCCAAACACTAGCTTAGTAATATTGGATAAAAAGTCGAGTAGTCTCCGATTTTAAAGACAAAGCTGAGGCTAGAGCTATACCTTCTAGAAACTATTCCTTCTAGAGATGTACTAAGGTTAATTTATCTAATAATAGAAACTATATAATAAATGTACTTAATATGTATAATGTATAAGACAAATTACTTACCTCATCTGTTAGTGTTTGTAGATTGAACAAAAATGGAGAAGAATGAATATAGGGTTCATGTTCAGAGAAGAAGCTTCGAGAGCATTTTTTTTTTTTACATTTTCTGAAGAGTTCTTACAAAAAGAATATCTAAAAACTATTTACATTGGTCGGGTCTATCAATAAATACAACTCGGTCAAGTCTTATGAACTAATTAACATCAGGCCCAAATCTAATAACTAATATCAGGTAACTCCAACACCCCTCCCCCTCAAGTTGGAGGGTGGTAACACGCCCAACTTGCCAAGCAATAACCTGTGATGTGCACCTGTCAAACACTTAGTAAAGATGTCAGCAAGCTGAGAAGAGGTAGGAACATGATGTAAAGAAATAAGGCCATATGCCAACTTAGTACGGATGAAGTGACAATCAACTTCAATATGTTTCGTGCGCTCATGAAAAACAGGACTTTTAGCGATGTGAAGGGCAGCCAAGCTATCACAGAAAACAGGAATAGAGCTGGACGAAGGCAAACCCAAATCTACTAACAAAAGAACCAACCAGACTAGTTCAGCCACCACTTTACTCATGGCCCGGTATTCTACTTCAGCAGAAGATAAGGAGACGACGACTTATTTCTTAGATTTCCAGCTAATCAAACTACCCCCTAAAAACACACAATAACCAAAAAATGATCTCCTTGGATCAGAACAAGGAGCTCAATCGCTGTTACAAAAGGCTTGTACAGAAAAATCAGAAGAACCATTGAGGTGAACTCCAACATTGTGAGCACGTGATTTTTGTTTTTCGCGACAATCACTCCAAAAGAAACAAAAAATGGCAATTGGTCTTGCTGTACAATTTTTGGATTTTTACGTGGTATGTTGTTAATTATTTATGATTTTTGTCCATTTTTATTTTTATTAAAACAAAATACAAAAAGTGTGTGTCATGCATAGTTTGAACCGTAATCCGGTTATTAAATGAAAAAATTGTAAAATATGCATCTTTGTCATGATTTTTGCCTTGTTTAATTTTACTTACTTTTAAACATTTTAATATGCGTGAATAAATTGTATTAAGTGTTTAATTAAGGGGGTTTAATTTTGTTTAATTAGGTTTTGTTTTAAAAAATGAAACAATAAAAGAAAAGAATGCAAAATTGGCCTGAAAACAGGTTGGGCTTGTTCCTATTCAAAATCTGAGGCCCAAATTGAGCCCAAAAGCATGTGCTTGCCCCGGTCCAGACCAGCTGACATCCAGAGCACCCAAACGACGTCGTTTTGATCTAGTCTGATCTAGGCCGTTGATCTTAGGATGATCAACGACCAAGATCGCATTCCCCATACCCATGAACAAACCCGACCCATTCCACCCGGACCGACCCAACCCCCTTTAGTTTAAAACGACACCGTTCCTTACTAGCCAAAAGATCCTGACCCTTCATCTCACTCCATCCGACGGCCAGGAATCGATCACTCACTTACTATATAATCTCATTCCTTTACCCCACGCCCCCTAGCCAGACCCCCCTACCTTTCATCGTCCTCACCACACACCCTGGAACCCTAGCCGCCCCCATTTCCCTTCACCAGAAACCCGGCGGCATGAACGCCGGTGGCCCTCACCTTAACACCCTAGGACCACCTTGACCCCCTGAACATGAATCCACCAACCGTTTAGCTCAAATCCCTTCCCACCTTCTCGAATCTTCATTTGAAGATTCGAGTCAAAACTCGATCTACACCGATCTGCCCTAGATTCATACCAGACA